TGCAGTTCCCACTGACTCTCTTTCTTATCCATAGCTGAGGGAAGTCTGAGGGGAGTGTGAAGCACCTGGTTTTTGTCTGGTGCTGAAAGCTCTTCAGCTGCTGTGCTTGTTGTAATGCCTGTTTCTGAGCTCGACTAATGGTGCCAAATGTTCCCCAGACATTCCTTCCCCTTTCACCTCTCTGAAGCCTCAGGGTGTTCTGGAAGAGTTTATTGCCAGAGTCTGACTTAAGAAGATGGGCATGTTAGAAGAGCATCAGTGCGTTATTGTAATGGAGTGATGTAACATCGGGTTTGTATTTAAAGAATGACGTCACATGCTCAGTGCTACTCCTTTTGTGCTGAGTTTTCTGCTCCTCCTTTTCACTTTGCTGCTGAGTTTATCCTGCATTCAATTATATTTTGGCAAGTTGTAATTCTCAGCTTCTTATTAGGAAAGGTTCAATAGAACACCATTTGATTGTGAACTTCCTATTTGGAAACTCTGACTTTGCTGAGATGTGGGTGAATGACGTCATATGATTGTTGTGAAACCCAAGGAGATGTACACAGTTGATGATAAACCTTCACTTTTAAAGAAATATTCAACAGTCAACATTCTTGTATAAATTATGATAAAATTTCCTTAGCAAACACTTCCATTAAACATGGAGTATGAAACAGTGCATTATGTGTGGATAATCGTGTCTGCCAAAACAAACGCTAGCATTGCCAATTTGTTTCTGCATACGTCACCTAACGAAATGGCAATCTGTTGTTTGATTCTTTGAAGATGTCAGATGTCAATCCGACTATGCTTAGTTGCTGTATTTCACTTATACACATTTAAACAAGCTTATTTTTAATTACATTGAGATGTGTTGGAAACGGGGTTATACATAGTTGAGGTAGCTAACAGGAACTAGCCTACTCAATTTTAAGAAAAAGGAAAGGCTAGTTTGAAAGTCTTGAAGTTTGAGGTTTTATAGGCCTTTTACGCAGACAGTCAGACTTATTGACAAGGGTGAAAGAACACTTAATTTCCCAGTGGGTGTGCCCAATTGAATGTAAATTCACACTTGAAATTGATTTGAAGCTATTTCTCAAATACTGAATTGTGCCAGTCTTGCTTGTAACTGAACTCCGTGTTCTATATTAAAGGGATAATTCACCCAAAAATGAAAATTCTGTCATTAATGACTCACCCTCATGTCGTTCCAAAACCGTAAGACCTTCGTTCATCTTCAGAACACAAATATTTTTGAAATCCGAGAGCTTTCGGACTTGGCCTGTCACGATAACAATTTTTGTTGTGCAATATATTGCTCCAGAAATAATTGCAATAAGCGATATTATTGTTATTTTAAATAGGGCTGCTCGATTATGGCAAAAATCATAATCACGATTATTTTGGCCAATATTGTAATCACGATTATTTAACATGATTCTGAGGGGGCCATATGACCAATACTTTGTATGAGTGATCTATTTAAAGATAGTGATACATATCAAATATATATTTCCTGTAAATAAGGTTGCTATGACATCTACATTGTGGAGACCAGCGGAGTTTCAAACAAACAAACAAAAAGTCCTCAAAATTATTAAAAATAATTATACTGTCAGTAATAAAAAAAAGCAAAGGACAAATGCAATAGAATAAAAAGATACAAATGAAACAAACTGCTTTAATGTTTTTTTTATGCAAGTCTCAAGCAGTTTACAGCCTACTACAGAATAGGCCTGGGTGATAAAACGGTATCGATATTTATCGACGGTATACCTTCTTCAATAACGATATAAAAATGTTCGATATAGACACGTGCTCTGAGTGACGCAGACAGCACACACAAACATGAACACATGCTGAATTGAGTGCTGTGACTGCCAGTGATGAAGGGATTGTGAATAAAAAAATGAATATTAGTCGAACTTAAAATAAACATTTGCATTTGAATGCAAAAATAGTACAATCAAATGTTAGGAGTGCATCAGGGAGCATCATTAGTGGAGCGCGAGATGCGGTGATGTAAGTGACGTTGTTGCATTTTAATGTTTTGTTAGTCTAGCCCACGAGACGCGCAGTTGCTGCATTATGCAATCAAAATTTTAGAGAAATATAGAAGCTCAATGCGGAGAAGATCTTGATTAGGTTAAAACTGAAACCAAGCCATTCACACAGAACACATCTTCAGCGCATTTTTTAGACGAACAAATATGACTGCTGCACTCGCGTCTCACACAAGAGATGTAGCCATGCAAAGTTAAAACAGCGAATCGCGAATTTGTGGAGGTTTATTCCTTTTCACTGCTTCTCATATGTTTTTAAATACAATCTGAGTGAATGGCACCCTCCTGTGGCCTCGGGAGACGAGTCAAAAGTTTCCTTAAGACCTATTTAATCGGCATATAAAATAGGGATGCATCGAATGTTCGGCAACCAAAAATAAGCGAAAAGATCGAATAAATTGTACCAAACAATGATGTGACGCGATCAAATAGCAACCAGCGCAGAGTGAGAGGCGCGCATTCTTTATAATGCAGCACACATGTCAGCAGTGTGGAAGCATTTAAAACCGTCCGAGAAAGACGCAAAAATCATTACAAGCACCGACAGCGAGAGACTGTTTAGTACTGCAGCACATGTCTTCGATGAAAAGAGGAAGGGGTGATTGTTGCTGGTTACTGTACGATGATTGAAATCACGAAATGGCCTTAAACAATCAGTAAATAAACTGCAGAACGTTATGTTTTCTAATACACGTACGCATTGCATGTATTCTGACAGCACTGCACAAACTCACCGCGCTATCTGCTTGTTAACCAGGGTTCAAAGCCGAGGAAAATCTGCGCTGAAACAGTGTTACTCGTCAGTTGCTCAGTCGCATTTTTATGAATTTTTACAAGGCATGTGACAATGCGATACGTACGACGTATTCGTAATGAGACTCATTTATAAATCTGCTGTCAACAAAAAGAAGCATTTTCCACCAAAATAAAAGTTGAGAAAAAGCAAGAACTCCATCAACATTCATAAATGTTAGTATTGTAATTTTACTGTTGTTCTGTAAAATAAAATAAAAAGTAAGACAATAATAATGATAATAATCATTACAACAGCTCTGTTATTAATAACATTCACACATAGTGTTCAAATTAGGACTTGTAATATTTTTTAATGTTTTAAAAGAAGTCTCTTCTCAGCCATGCTGCTTTTAATTGTACAGTAAAAAATACATGCCTGATTCAAAACGGGGGTCTGATGGCCAAAAAAAATTTTTTTACCAACTCATTAATTTTAAGTTCAATTGTGCTTTGTAGGTATAGTGTCTGCTAGAATGTTAAAAATGTTCAGTGTTAAATATTTTTTAAATTGTTGTTTTGTAATCAAGGCATGTGACAATGCGATACGTACGACGTATTCGTAATGAGACTCATTTATAAATCTGCTGTCAACAAAAAGAAGCATTTTCCACCAAAATAAAAGTTGAGAAAAAGCAAGAACTCCATCAACATTCATAAATGTTAGTATTGTAATTTTACTGTTGTTCTGTAAAATAAAATAAAAAGTAAGACAATAATAATGATAATAATCATTACAACAGCTCTGTTATTAATAACATTCACACATAGTGTTCAAATTATTAATAACATTCACACATAGTGTTCAAATTAGGACTTGTAATATTTTTTAATGTTTTAAAAGAAGTCTCTTCTCAGCCATGCTGCTTTTAATTGTACAGTAAAAAATACATGCCTGATTCAAAAAGGGGGTCTGATGGCCAAAAAAAATTTTTTTACCAACTCATTAATTTTAAGTTCAATTGTGCTTTGTAGGTATAGTGTCTGCTAGAATGTTAAAAATGTTCAGTGTTAAATATTTTTTAAATTGTTGTTTTGTAATTGATTTTCCTCTTTGAAAAGCAAGACAAAACCGTAAAAAGCACATTTTGGCTATTTAATTTATGCAATGGTGAAAACAAATTGGCAAAAATACATGGGGAAAAAAAACTCGAAAAACCGTATACAGCCTTCGGCCTTCGACCCAGTGTTTCATTTTGTTAGGTTTTGGCTTCGACCCAGAATTTTCATTTCGGTGCATCCCTAATATAAAACATTAGAAATTAGATATTTGTTTAATTTGTATTGTGTGTTTGACTGTTAAAACAAAAAATATTTGTTGTTCGTCGCAATAAATTGGGTTAATTTAAAAATAAATAAATATTTTTGTACCCATAAATAATGTACTAATTCTAATAAATGTATATTGTAATGTACTCATTCTAATATATATTAAAAAAATCACTTACATTGCTGGTAGGTTATCATTGCACAAATTAACACATCTCTATGATTTAAAAAAAAATTAGAAGAGTTCTAAACTAACGCGCTGTCTTCACTGTATCTAACGCACACGCGCTCGAGGCTAATTTACGCGACGCGTCCGCAAGTTTGCTTAGGTGCGCGCGGCAGGACTTTCCACGCAGCTCCGCTTCCGAAGATGCACGAGTTCAAAGCAACTCTAGCCGAACGTGCATGTCTGTGCCAGCATTTGTGTGAAACAAGCAGTTTGATGTTAAGTTCAGTCACACACACAGATCATGTTGCGGCCGAACTCATTCAGGAACAACTTTTTAGCACTGAAAAAATATCTTAATTTGTATTTCGAAGATTAGCAAAGTTCTTATGGGTTTGGAACTTGAGGGTGAGTAAGATGACAGAATTTTCATTTTGGGGTGAACTAACCCTTTAAAAGCAGTATACCTAAAGACGTTATCCCTAAATACCTGAAGACGCTCTGAAGGCTTTAAGTCAAATTTGGCATATAGCTATTAGGAAAGTTTAGAGAACAACGATGAAATGATGTTGATGAAACATTGTTTTTAGATTCAAAGCTCTTTTAAAATAAGTTTTAATTAATCATCTAATCAATAAAGTATGCAGAATGTTATTAAAATAGTTCTGAATCCCAAGTGTTTTGCATATCTAAAGTAATGTGTTATTTTGTTTATCTTTTTCTAGACCGTAGCCATTCTTGGTGATGGACACACAGCGGTTCAACAAACTCTGACAGTCTTTAGCTCCCTATTGGATTCAGCAGTCCTGTCGTAGGGGCCGCTGAGGGGGCAGACACTTAATGCACTGAACTCAAACAATGACCGACCCCATCATGGATTTCTTTGATGACCCTAGCATATTTGGGGGAGGGCTTGACGGCTTAGTTCAGGATGATCCAGGGTTTACCCCTGGTTCTGTGTCCTTGGATGATGAACTTCACCTGGGTCCTAGTTTGGAGCCTCTTCAGGTAGATGCAGGGTCCAGATCTTCTACCATCCAACATGGGATACCCTACAACCAACCTGTGAGGCATTTTGACACTATGAAGGCACAGACCTCAATGGAACAGTCCTTTCCTGGTCCAGAAGGAGTTGGCAACAATGGAAGAGCATTTTTACCACAGCAGCAATCATTTCAAGGACATACTATGAACCAAGTGCCCCAGACCAATGGACTGTTTCTTCACAACAGCCCCATGTGGGGAAACCATGATCAAAAAGGGAATAACTACCATCAGCACAATCAACACCATCAACAAAGTCATCATCGACAACTTCAACATAAACAATTTCAGCAGCAACAACAGTTTCAGCAGCATCAAGCTCAGCATCAGCAGTATAGTCATCAACATCTTCAGCAAAGACAGCACAGCCTCAATCAACACCCAATCTCAAACCAGCTGCAGCTCCCTCACCAACAAATTGCCCATCAAGGCTTGCATCATATTAGCAAGACCTATCAAGGACATACAGGTTTTTACTATGAGAGCAACGTCCCTCAAAATCATTCCCAGCACGGCCACCATAACTCGCTCAGTGTGGAGGGTAGTCCCTTTCACTCTACGGTTGAGGCATCAATGATGCCTGTGTCTTCTCAACAACACAGTGGCTTTCAAATAGCCCAAGAGGTCCAAGGTTTTACTACAGGTCCAAGGTTGGAAGACAATGACCTGGCCTTCGCTGTCCGGTCTTCCCCTGCAACCCATTCTTTCCCAACTGACTCAGTTAGCCGCGCTTCATCCTATCCTACTGCTCATTATACTCTGACTGGTCAGCCTGCCCCTATAGTAAATGCAACCCAGTCTTACTCCTCTGCCCCAGTCTCTATGACAACCTCTTCAACGGCCATCCCATCATCAGCTTCAAACCTTTTGGATACTGGTTGTCCTTTCCGGTCTAATTCTGGAATGGAACATCAGCAGCAACGAGTCCAAATACCAGACAGCCCGGCACAACGGTGCCCCTTAAATAGCTCCAAATCAAACCAGGATCCCTTCAGCTCTTGTAAGGTGTTCCCAGATGGTCTGAACTCGTTCGCTGCAGACTGTCCATTCTCTACGGCAGAGCGAAGGAACCATGATGCGGCTGGACCTTTGGTTACAAACCAGAGCAACAGTAATGGGTTTCAGGCACTGCAGGAGGTCTTGCTTGGAGAGCAACACAGTCACAGACTTGACCTGGGTGATGCTCCTGACCTTTTAGGCGATGAGCTGTTGCCTCAGCTGGAGGCACTAGACCAGGAAGAGAACTCCAATCACTCTTGGGTAATGGCAGGACTAGAGAATGACCAAGAAGAGGATTTCAAGGATGAGGAAGGCATGGAGGATGTGTCTATGGTTTACAACGCACAGGTGAGAGAATCTGTTCTCATATCTCTTCCAAAGGTGTCTTATATTGTTTGATGGCTTTAAAGGTTGCATACTGGGATGTTGGAGTGAGTCAGAGATTACAGTTTTGAGCCCTTAGTTTCAGTTATCAGCTCTGCAGAGCTTATTTTGAAGGGAAGTGAATGATATATTATGCAACAGAGTTTTTGTGGTTGTTGTTGGTTTATCTCCATCAGGAAATATACAAGTTAATGACATGGATGAGAGATGATTGAAATGACCACTGGAATGTTGCTAAGCAGTCAACAGACTACTTTGACAACAGGCTATATTTTAGTGTTCAACTGTACTGAAAGAGAAAGGACAAGACAGACTCCATTAAATAATTCACAGCTCCTCCTGTCCAGGCCCTGCAGACAGGTATTGTAGCAGCCGATTAGGAGTTGCAATAGTGTTCAGGACTTACTGGGGCTAAGCGTACTTAAGGCTATAACAAGATGTGGGTCAGGCCAACCGTAGGATAGTGGGAGGTGCACTCTGGCTGGCTAGAGCGGGTCTGGCTTGTGGTTTTTCTGTCTGTGTGTGTTGATGTGAGATTAGTGTTTGTGTGTGAGTGCAGGCAGAAGGGAGATGTTGATAATAAGGTTTCCTGAGGGAAATGGAGAACGAGAGAGAGAGAGAAAAGAGCAGGAGTGCTGTCTAGTCTGTGATTGCAAGCAGCAGGCAGTGCTTTCAGTAGTACTGCCTGACAGCGTCATCTCTTTCTCTTTCGCTGTCTCTCTCTCTCTCTCTTTCTCTCATGATGCAGGAGCATCAGTCTTTCCCCTCAGCTCTTTGCTGCTGACACAGGGAGTTGAGGCTCAGTGCTTCAGCTGCCACACACACAAACACGCGCACACGCATATCATGAACTCTTTCCACCAGTCCTGCCGGGCACATGGAGTGCTTTCGTTGTCAGACATGTGTGCACAAATACACCTACCCAAATACAGATTCTGATTTGCCAGTGCTCTTGTCTTTGCACAAGGAAAAATGCAAACAAGAGTCTCCTCTTTGTTTGTCAATCGAGAGTTTGATAGTAGCATATTTTACCAAATTGATTATTGGCCGATAGGAACATTTTTTGGTGTATTGTCAATGTTGGATATATATAGAGATTAGTATTTTATATTTAATTGTGCATAATCATTTCCCCTTTTAAGTTAGATTCCCTTTGCCCTCAACACTCACTTAAAGTAATCTTTAAAAAGGTTAATAGCCCAATTTCATGGGACCTTTAACAGATCTCAAAATGAATATCCATTGAGTTGCGATATATTTTGTTTTAATTTATTTATTTAGATAAAATATTATTGACTTTTAAAATTGGCCATTTATTGGTTATTGCTCATAACATGAAAATAAATATCGGATTGGCCCTGAATTTTAGTAGCCTATTGGTGCATCAGTCTATTGGTGTAGATTATTATACAAGTCAACGAGGCTTTGTGTAGGTATTGAAAGCCAAATCAGCCAAGATGTATTATGTTCTTCTTCAGCCAATCTGTCTGTCCTCACAGATCCTTAATTATAGCAGAGGCAGGATGTGGATCAGAGTTCATATCGTGTGAGTTCCTGTAGTGAGTGTGTTTGTGTTGCAGTGTCTGTCTGCATTTATGTGTGTGTGTCTGAGCGAGAGAGAGACGAGCCATTCATGTGCACTGGGCTGTGGAAAGCCAACAGATGTATAATGCGAGGCAGTCCCAGGGTAAAAGAGAGAGATGTGCACTCGACCTTCTCTCTCCCTGAGGGTCTCGTGGGCGAGTTTTGCTTTAATGTTCTTTCTAAGCCTCTGGACCACGAGGGGTTGGTGTTTCAATACTGAAACTTGACTTCACCTATATGTCACTTTAGCTGCAGTAGAGGGGAATGGCTGTTTTTTTGTGTGGTTTTCTTGGGTTAAATGTTTGTAAAAAGTACAAGATCATGGTTGAACATGATCAGACAGAATGTTCCCAAGTATGTAACTTGATTCAATCACGCTACTGCAAAGATACCGCTCCATCATGTAATGCATTTAAAGGCCAAGTCGGTGAGGGTTTATGAGGTGGATGGAGCCCCCAAATATAGAATAAAACCCCATTAGACTATACATGCACGTGTCTGTACTTTTAAACAGGTATTTTCCTTAGGTTACATCTGTTATGTTAAAAAAGGGGCATTTTTCACAACAGTCTATGGGAAATGTCATATCATACCAGGGCTCGCAAAATTTCAAAATCCCTGGTAGCCCTTCGGGCAGGTACTCTTCAGATTTTGGTAGCCCGAAAATTAGTTTAACTAGCCCAAATAAAAAAAAGAGTTTAAATGTCAATCAAAAACATTTTCAATACACAAATATCAACAAATATGAAGGAAGGAATTTTATTTGACTATTTACAGGGAATCTGCTGAATTTTTAAAAATAAATTTAAGGCAATTTATGACCCATTTTAAGAGCTGCACAAGTAAAATGAACACCGTATGAGTGGGGTTGGGCAATGTCTGTGGTAACATACAGTGTTGAGCCATAAAATTTCATGATTTACAGTTCAGATACATGTTTTCACAAAAACAAAAATCTTATACAACTGCATTTCAGCCTTTAGACCATTTTTATGAAAAGGGATAAATCAAGCATATCAATTATTATGTCAATTTAAAATGTATAAATATCACTGTCCTAATTGTTTAGATTTTTAGAAGGCACATGAACTTCTTTCTCATGTACAACTCTGTTTGCTGCGTAAAAACACGAGTTGATATTTGCATTGATTTGACCAGAAACAGCAAGAAAGGCTTATTGGAAATGCAAATTCATTCTCTGCCACGAGGTGGCGCTTTAGGAGTGCTGAAATAATGCGGTTTTCCCAGTAACGCCTGTACACAAAGCAGCTCCGTGCTCATAAACGCTGCTTTATAAGGAATTATAGGTCAAATAAAATTAAAATGCCAAAGGCACATTTCTGAGGACAGTCGGTTACCTTCAGATACATTCAAATAAAGACATCCTTATAATTAAGACATTTCTTATACCATTTAATGTATTTAAAAATTGTATGGCCTTAAGTTTGGTACAACTCCCTTTAGGAGTTTTTAAGGACCCGCAGGAGATCTGTATTTAAGATAGCCCGTCGGGCAGAGTGGTGATACATTTTGGTAGCCCGACTGGAAAACACAATAGCGCCGGGACATCGGGCTAGCGATTTTGCGGGCCCCGCTTACCTTCACATTCTGATGAAGCCTTCTTGTGATATGAATCAATATGAAATAATATTGTGTAAGCTGCTCTGTTGATCAAGATTTAAATAGTTCAAGATGGTTAAATAAATAAACTGCCATTTGATATGACAGTTTAAGAATCGGTGTAGTTAAAATGTGAAAAATGATTTGGAATGAGAGACCGGGCAGAGCAGCGGTGGTCACAAGTGTTACAGGGTGGTGTGATAGCATGAGGGCCCAAGAGAGCGAGCGAGACCGGCTGACGGCATGAACAGAGCCCCTTTGTGCTGCTGCTTTGTGCAAAATGAACATTCAGCAACATAGATGCAAATACCAATCCGCATCACTCACATTCACACACAAACCCCCCTAACCTACTGTCTGGATGGGATCCAGATGATGGATCTGTTTTTAAAGGGGTCATAACATTTCATTTTTTTTAATAGGCTACATTTTCTATCTTTCTTTCACATTCTTGGAAATAGGCTATTTTATGCTGTACTTTTATCTTTTATCTAAATGACTTCTTTATCCAGGCATGACGAAGCAGATATCGTCCTCTTTTGGAAGGCCAAACAAAGTAGTTTCGCTTTCACAACGAATCACACAGTGCCTTCATGACATGGCGGCGGCAACAACAATACTACAGTGAGAATAAAAGTTACGCCTTCTTTCTTTGTGTGAACATTTGGGTGGCGTTATGCAAATCTTCCCACATAGTGAGGTAGATATGTGGGGGCGTGTTAGAACGAGCCGTTTTAGGTAGGTGTGGCTGACTCTGAACTTTTATAAAGAATATCTCTTTGGATTTGAGACTTTAGTGTTTGCAACTTTACAGATCTTCTTTATGCACCAAGAGCTTGTAACACTCAAAAGAGAAAAGAAAAATTTAAATCACATCATATGACCCCTTTAAAGTATATAGGTACTAACAGAAAACAGCTATTTTAAAATGTAATAAAGTATCACAATATTACGTTTTTTACAAGGTTTTTGATCAAAAGACTTGATGTTTTTGGTCTCTGTCTTTCTCATTTAAATAACTGTTTGCACCCTCTCCAAAAAAAAAAATGGTACAAAAGCTGTCACTGACCAGATACAGTGTTTCCTTGGTTACCGCCATAAACAAAGCAGCACTGCGCTGAAACACTGCTTTAATATGAACTATACAGAGATGAGATTAAAAGAAAATACCACGTAAACTTTTCTGAAGACAGTCAGTTCCCCTCAGAAAAACATTCATATAAACCCCCAAATCAATACTGAGGATTTTCTTCCAATAGTTCGGGCATCATGAACAGTGAGTGATCTGCCTGCTTCAACGTATCTGGCCTGTGTTAACGGGCGTTTACAGACTTCATATTTTCACATAAATTACATTTTGGAAAACGATTGCATTGCAATGCAGTTTGTGCAAGTCCAGAACAGAGACGAGTTGCTTGCAATAAGACAAAAAAAGGCCGGTTGCCGATCACGTAAGTTCCAGGGGCAGCTTCTTAAGTTCGGCCATCCTACACACACGTGACTGACCGCTCGCTCGCACCAACAGGAGGAGGAGACGTGTTACTCTCTACACTGCACTCAACCTGAGGGATTCCTACACTTTCAGTCTTTGAGGAGACATGAAAACCAGCGCATACCTCAGGAACGGTATAACGGAAAATATTAGCAGTTTTGAAACCGTGAAATTTTCAAATCGCGGTATACCTTGAAACCGGTAATCGGCCCATTGCCTACACGCGACACGTTCAGAATTAATAAACTTTTAATAAACTACAGAACAG